TGTCACTCAGGCTGGAGTGCAGTGGTGCGACCTTGGCTCACTGCAACTTTCACCTCCTGGGTTCAAGCAATTCTCCTGCCTCAGCCTCCTGAATAGCTGGGACTACAGGCGCGTGCAACCATGCCCAGCTAATTTTTTATATTTTTAGTAGAGATGGGGTTTCACCGTGTTAGCCAAGATGGTCTCGATCTCCTGACCTCATGATCTGCCCACCTTTGGCCTCCCAAAGTGCTAGGATTATAGGCGTGAGCTATCACAGCTGTATTATCTTATATATCTAGTTCAATGGTTCTCAATCGTGCCTGCACATTATAATTACTTGAAGAGTGTTGTAAATCCTAATGCTTAAGCTCTTTCCCAGAGCAATTACATCAGAATCACCAAGCCTAGTAGCCACTATTTTTAATTTGTGAAGCTCCCCAGATGGTTGCAACATGCATTTAATTTCGAGACTGCTGATTCATAGATAATAGTTTGCATTTTCCACATCCTTTCTAATAGATAATTTTTTAGACCAAAATCCAAACACTCTCTGGTAGGTATGTAGGCCAACCATGACTGTCCCACTTTGATGGAACATACAAATGAGGTTGACCATTCGGGGCCATACTATAATAACATTTTTTTAAATTGAACTTCATGTTTATTATATTTATTTCTCTAAAAAAATGCAGTCTGGCTGGGTGTGGTGGCTCACGCCTGCAATCCTAACACTTTGAGAGGCTGAGGCAGGTGCATCATGAGGTCAAGAGATCAGATCATCCTGGCCGTATGGTAAAACACTGTCTCTACTAAAAATACAAAAATTAGCTGGGTATGGTGGTGTGTGCCTATAGATCTAGCTACTCAGGAGGCTGAGGCGGGAGAATTGCTTGAACATGGGAGGCGGGCGTTGCAGTGAGCCAAGATTATGTCACTGCAATTCAGCCTAGGCGACAGAGGGAGACTCTGTCTCAAAAAAAAAAAAAAAATGCCATCTAGTTATCATGATGCCAGTTTATAGACAAAGACATGTGGTCTCCTGGGTCTGAGAGAACTGCGCAAATAAGTAACGTGATCTGAGACTGAGTGACACTAAAGCTTATGATGCCTGCACAAAACCAGTGATACTCCTGACCAGCAACATCAGCATCACCTGGGAACTTGTAAAAAAAAAAAAAAAAATGCAAATTCTGTGACTCAATCCCACCCCTACTAAGTCATAATCTTTCAAGATGGGGCCCAGGAATCTGTGTCTTGACAAGCCCTTCAGGTGATTCTGAGTCTCATTACGGATGGACAAACAGTCCTATATTCTTCTCTGTCTCTATCAGCTGCTCACCTTTGGAGACTCAGCTCAGCATCTGGCATGAGACATAAAAAATGTGTGGGAGCCTCAGTGAGTAAGATGAGGTGAGGGAGGAGATTTTTCTCTAACTTCCCTTCATCTCGTTTCCAATTTACTTTAACAATTTGTGTTGAAAATGTAAGAGGATGTATCAGAGATACCATATAAGGAAAGAAATGGTAGAGTTATGCTGTTGCTAATATTTATTTACAGGGTTGTCTGGCTATGTTGAGCTATTTTCACACAAGTGTGACCATTTTAATATGTTGACACATGGTTTATCCTTTTAATCAAAGTATGGAAATTTTTAAAATGTTTCATTAAAAATGAATATTCCAACTGTTTCCAGGGAAATGAGTTTGTGATCTTAAGGGCTTTGAGGTAACTGGTGTTCAGGAAACCAAGGGCAGTTGGCTTGCTTTCTCAGATGGAAGCTGCTTCAGTTGCTACCATGCTCTAAAACCCACGTGCTGTTGACCTGCTTAGCGTATTTCTTGCTATGCTTAGGATTCATTTATTAGAATTGTACATTTGACTAGGGGGAAATCAAAATTAAAAGGCCAGTCATGTTTGATTTATCAGAGATGTCGATTAATATTTTCTGAGCAAACTGTGAAGTCCTTTCTTTTAAAGAAGTATATAAAATAGGCTTTGGGGATATTCAGGTCTGATGAAAATGCGTCTCATGGGGTGGGGTGAGATGGGAGAAAGAAAAAGCAATAAAGATAGAGAAGATAAAAATAGGGAAGAAGGAGGATGGCAAAGAGCTGAAAGGAGACAATAATTCACGAGGGAAAGAGACAGAAGAATTTAAAAAAGGAGAGAAAGGAGGAGTGAAGAAATAAAAGGTGGGGTGAGAAGGATTAAAAGAAAAGGGAAAGGAAAGAGTTTGGGAAAAGAGGGGAAGAAGAGAAAAGGAATAAGAGGACGACACACGGACAACAGAAAAATAAAATAAAAAAAAGTAAAATAAAATGAAATAAAGCAATGAATGCAGACTTTGGAGCCTAGCAATTTATTGTAAAGTGCCCCTTGTATTAGACACACTGCAGAGCTGCTGGCTCCAGTGGTTAATGATGGCAGTAATCATGATTCCAGTTTATAGCAAATGCAATGAAAGGCAGCCAGACCCCCAGAGAAACCTTATGGGGATGGCAGTGGAATAACAACATAGCAGTGGTTGAGGAATTCAGGGATGCTGGAGACTGGATTCAGTTCTCCTGTGTTTGACAACCATTTTGTATCTGATGTACAATCCATTTTAAAAAGAAAAAAAAATTATGCTTATTACTAGATCTCTGAATTAGAGCAAAGAAGTTTAGGTGTTTGCAAAAACACATTTGAAGCTTTATTTTGTGATTAGCCTCCTCTGAGCACTGACTTTTGGCCCAGGTTGGTCTTTCACGTCTCCTTTCCTTTCTTTCCTTGCTGCTCAGTGGTTTTCTACTGCCGGTGGTCAGTAGCGCTGCTTCACTGCAAATGCCTGCTGTCTCTGAAGCCTGGAACCATTGCAGAACAGGTATAACTACTCATCCTCTTTCCTAGTTGTCAAAGCCCTTTTTTCTCTCTCTCTCTCTCTTTTGTTTTGTTTTGTTTGTTTTGTTTTGTTTTGTTTTGTTTTGTTTTAAGACGGAGTCTTGCTCTGTCTCCCAGGTTGGAGTGCAGTGGCACGATCTCAGCTCACTGCAACCTCTGCCTTCTGGGTTCAAGGGATTCTCCTACCTCAGCCTCCTAAGTAGCTGAGATTACAAGCAGGTGCCACCATGCCTGGGCTAATTGTTGTATTTTTAGTAGAGACAGGCTTTCACCATGTTGGTCAGGCTGGTCTTAAACTTCTGACTTCGTGATCCACCCACCTCAGCTTCCCAGAGTGCTGGGATTACAGGCGTAAGCAACCGCACCCAGCCCGCCCTATTCTCTTCATGCATGTTTATTTATATGGATTACCTTGATAGATTACTCATCAAGATTTCTTTTAATCAGAGGTCTGTGTATGTGATGAGCACTGATCACCATTATTCCCTCTGCCCCAGTCTATTGCCAGGAAGGCCTAGGTCTTTGCAGATGATCAAGTTTTGGAGGAAAAACAAATTTACTCTGCATAATAGGGGGAGAAAAATTTAGAAAGGGCACAGCACGGAGAGGGGTGTGAGGAGCAGAAATGGGAGAAAGACAGACCCCATTCATTCAGACAGATGGTGGAAACTTGTGTGCCTTGTGCATGCGGAAACCCTATAAAAATATTCTGCAGTGTCAACTACTGGCATGAATTCTCTGAGTAAATTGTTGTTGTGTTCCCAATGAAGAGTCAGAGTGTCTTATCTGGTCTGCATAAGGTTTGAACAAATGCAGCAGCTGTGCTGGTCAGACGTGAAGAGGATGGAATTGGAAGAAATCTTTGGACACCCACCATAGACTTCTACATGGCATGGAACTGGGGATGTTAGGGAAAGGGTTTCAAAAGAGATCAAAGCAATTTGGATCTTCAGGGGTGCCTGTAGCTACTTTGGTTTCCATATGTATAAGAATAAGCTATATGTTGGGGTGTGTATGCTGTTTGATACATAAACATTTGATTCCTTTAAGGATGTACTGTTTGCAAATAGATTCATCACAGCAAGACTTCTCTTCCTATTCAGACCATAAGGTCCTTAAGGATAGAAGTATTTCTCTGGACTTTGAGTAACCTGCAGTATCTAGTTTAACCCTAATCACATACAAAATATTCAGTAAGAGACTGTGTCTCACAGACTGCCTGGATCCACTCTCTTTCTCTCACTCTACCCTCTCGTGTTTTCTGGGTTCTTATTCCCTTTTGAAGGTGATTCACCCAGGAGAGAGGGTCATCTGCATACCTGGATCACAGAGAACCAGGTAGTTATAACCTGCAGACACCTGTGGTTCAGAGACCGGCAGCATGATTTTTCGTCTTTGTTTTTTTTTTTTTTTTTTTGAGACAGTCTCTCTCTGTTGCCCAGGTAGGAGTGCAGTGGTGTGATCTCGGCTCAAAGCAATCTCTGACTTCCAGGTTCAAGCAATTCTCCTGCCTCAGCCTCCTGAGTACCTGGGATTACAGGCATGTGCCATGAAGCCCGGCTAATTTTTATATTTTTAGTAGAGATGAGGTTTCACCATGTTGGTCAGCCTGTTCTCAAACTATTGACCTCGTGATCCACGTGCCTTGGCCTCCCAGGGTGCTGGGATTACAGGCATCAGCCACCGTGCCCGGCCAGCAGCACGGTTTTGTGGACTATAAAAGTTACAGCAATTATCCTCCATTGCCAGGAAATGAATCCCTTGATAGGCCTCAATCTATATGCAAGACTCAAGTCAAGCACAAGACTGTATTTAAAAAATTAAAAAAAAATATGGAAGTTTATTGAAATTATGTCATTAGAGTTGACAGAGAGAAAATATTCCAACCAAGAATTGAATTGAATAAACCTTTCTCAACACCTCTCTTTGTTTAATTGGCAATTATAGCATACTGGCATGGATATACCACCTCAAGTCAAAGCCCACAGATATTGACTATATTCCTATCTAGGAAGGATCATATGAAATACACATATGATGGGGCTCTCACAGAATGGGATATTTTCCCCTGTTTCCTCTCATTTCTCAATGTTTCTATGGGAATCGTGTAAAACAAAGTCAAAAAGAAAGTTCTTACATTCTTAAATCCTCTGTAAAGGATCTGAAGCTCTTTCTTGGTAAATTTGCTCTGGGCTTCCAGAAGCTCAAGGGCCTCTGGCCGATGTCTGACGGTGGCCATCTCCAGTTCATCTTCCACGCTGTCTGTGGAGGAAGACAAGGAAGAGTCTTAGGACCAGCCGCTGCTCACCGAGGCTTACACATAGCAACACAGGAAAACAGAACATGTCTGCAACTGTCTACGATTGTCCACAGAGGAAGGACCCTCAGAGTGCCAATAAGGCCTTTAAATTTCCTGGTTTAAAAGTATTAAGCTAAGATACTTATATACACTTTTTTTGCATATTTTAGTCATTAATACAGACATTACAACTCTAGCATTTTTTTAAAGACAACAAAAAAGAGCACATAAATTTATTTCAGATAATGGATTATATGATTACTTCAAATAAAAAGTATAAGTAGCAATATATATTACTCTATGCATCTACCAGTGTAGTCACATATACTTCTTTTTTTTTTTTTTTTTTCCAAAGTTTAAGTTCAGAGGTAAATGTGTAGGATGTGCATGTGTGTTACACGGGTAAATGTGTGCCATGGTGGTTTGCTGCACAGATCATCCCAACACCCAGGTATTAAGTCCAGCATCCATCAGCTATTCTTCCTGATCCTCTGCACAGGTTCCCTGTGTGTGTTGTTCCCTGCCAGTGTGCCCATGTGTTCTCATCAATCACCTCCCACTTATAAATGAGAACATATGGTGTTTGGTTTCTGTTCCTGTGTTAGTTTGCTATAGATAATGTCTTCCAGCTCCATCTATGTACCTGCAAATAAAATGATCTCGTTTCTTTTTATGGCTGCATAGTATTCCTTGGTGTATATGTACCACATTTTCTTTAACCATTCTATCATTGGTGGGCATTTAGGTTGATTCCATGACTTTGCTATTGTGAATAGTGCTGCAATGAATATATACATGCATGTATCTTTATAAAAGAATGATTTGTATTCCTTTGGGTATATACACAGTAATGGGATTTCTGGGTCAAATGGTATTTCTGCCTCTAGGTCTTTAAGGAATTACCACACTATCTTCCACAATGGTTGAACTAATTTACATTACCACCAACAGGGTAAAAGTTTTCCTTTTTATCTACAACCTCACCAGCAACTCTAGCATTTTTAAGGTATGGTTAGAAAAGCATAAAAGGTCACCAACAGTCCAACCTGAAATTTGTTTCCATATTACAATCACTAGTTATAACCAATGGAATTGTTGTTAAATAATAATCAGTTTTGTGCCCTATATATAACGCAAGTACAAGGTAGAACTCTGTTAATGTTCTCTAAGGATTCCATTGAAATAACATGTTTTGCTCAGCTACTTGAGAGGCTAAGGTGGGAAGATCGCTTGAGCCCAGGAGGCTGAGGCTGCAGTAAGCCATGATAGCATCACTGCAATCCAACCTGGGTGACAGCATGAGACCTTGTTTCAAACAAACAAACAAACAAACAAACAAATAATCTTAGAATGTCAGAATTGAAGGATATCTGAAGAAAGATATAAAGAGATTTAGGATATCATGGCAGGCAGGAGGCAGGACTAGACTGCAGCGCCAGACAGAGCAGCATGGAGAGGCTTGCATTGTGAGTTTTAGCTCCAGATCGACTGCAAGAGCAAACCAGCAATCCCAAGAGGACCCATATACCCTCTGAAAGAAGTGGACTGCTCCCGGCAAACACCCCAAATACTGTAAGTGCCTCAACTGTAGAAGTGGGAAAGGGAGACCCTCCTCTCCTGAACACACCCACCCACTATAGAAGCTGAAGGTCTGTTTGCCAGAGAAATTTCTAACCTCACCTGGAGCTGAGTCAAGTTAGAGAGCCGAGTGAAATTCAGGGGTAGAGGAAACAACAGAAAGACCCTGGGAACTCACTGGGTCCCCAAGCAGCCCATTCCTGCCAGGCACCACAGGAATCCATCGGGAGGGTGGCCAGAGGAGCAGGGGCTAAAACTCCGCAGGGAGAAGGAATTTCTAGCTGAACTCTGAAACAATTTGAACCAGGCAAGAAGCCTCCTCACCAGAACTTGGGGGAGGGAGCAAATCAGGTGTACAGACTTCACAGGTGGTGGAAAACTAAAGCCCTTTTTTTTCCAGCTGGGAAGCAGATAGCCTTGAGCAAATTTTGAAGCCCATCTCACCCTCCACCTGGAAACAGACTGGGGCTGTTGGTGGGGCCATGGTGGGAGTGAGACTGGCCCTTCAGTTTGCCCGGGAGCTGGTGAGGCCTGTGACTGCCAGCTTTCCCCCAGTTCCCTGACAACCTGCATGACTCAGCAGAGGCAGTCATAATCCTCCTAGGTACACAACTCTAGTGACCTGGGAATTTCACCCCTGTCCTGCAAAGCAGCTGCATCAAGACCCGCCCAAAAAGAGTCTGAGCTTAGACTTGCTTAGCCCCGCCCTCACCTGATGGTCCTTCCCTATCCATCCAGGTAGTAGAAAACAAAGGGCATACAACCTTGGGAGTTCTGGGGCCCCGCTCACCTCTGGTGCCTCTCCACTCTACTATAGCTGATGCTTTTTAGAAAGTGCTACCTCTGGGTAGAAGGCCAATCAGCACAAAGATAGAGCATTAAATCACCAAAGCTAAGGAACCTGATGGAGTCCACCGCACCCTCTGCCACCTCCACCAGAACAGGCACTGGTATCCACAGTTGAGAGACCCATAGATGGGTCACATCACAGGACCCTGTGCAGACAACCCTCAGTACCAACCAGGAAGCAGGTAAACTTGCTGGGTGGCTAGACCCAGAAGAGAGACCACAATCACTGTAGTTTGACTCACAGAAAGCCACATCCATAGGAAAAGGGAGAGAGTACTACATTAAGGGAACACCCTGTGGCAAAAGAATCTGAACAACAGCTTTCAGCCCTAGTACCTGCCTCTGACAGAGCCTATCCAAATGAGAAGGAACCAGAAAACCAGCCCTCATAATATGACAAAACGAGGCTGTTCAACACCCCCCACAAAAATCACATCAGTTCACTAGCAATAGATACAAACCAAGAAGAAATCCCTGATTTACCTGAAAAAGAATTCAGGAGGTTAGTTATTAAGCTAATCAGGGATGTCTCAGACAAAGGCAAAGCCCAATGCAAAAATGATAAGTGAAGGGAGAAATACTCATGGAAATAGATAGCTTAAAAAAAAACAATAAAAAATTCAGGAAACTTTGAACACACTTTTAGAAACGTGAAATACTTTGGCAAGTCTCAGCAATAGGATGGAACAAGTAGATGAAAGAAATTCAGAGCTCAAAGACAAGGTGTTTGAATTAACTCAATTGAGCAAAGACCAAAAGAAAAGAAAAGAAAATAATAAGAAAATATGAACAAAGGCTCCAAGAAGTCTGGGATTATGTTAACTGACCAAACCTAAGGAAAATTTGTCTGAGGAATAAGAGAATTCTAAAAGCTTGGAAAACATATTTGGTAGAACAATCGAGGGTAACTTTCCCAGCCTTGTAAGAGACCTAGGCAGCCAAATACAAGAGGCATAGAGAACATCTGGGAAATTCATTGCAAAAAGATCTTCACCTAGGCACATTGTCATCAGGTTATCTGAAGTTTAAATGAAGGAAAGAATTAGGAGGTATGAAACAAAAGCACCAGGTAACCATAAAGGAAAACCTATCAGATTAACAGTAGATTTCTCAGCAGAGACCCTGCAAGCTAGAAGAGATTGGGACCCTATTTTCAGCCTCCTTAAACAAAACAATTATCAGCCAAGAATTTTGTATCCAGTGAAACTAAGCTAAGAATTTTGTATCCAGCGAAACTATCACATATGAAGAAAAGATACAGTCATTTTCAGACAAACAAATGCTGAGAGAATTTGCCATTGCCAAACCACCACTACAAGAACTGCTCAAAGGAGCTCTAAATCTTGGAACAAATCCTGGAAACACAACAACACAGAATCTCTTTAAAGCATAAATCACACAGGACCTATAAAACAAAAATACAAGTTAAAAAGCAAAAACAAAAACCAAAAAAGTCAAGTACACAGGCAACAAAGAGCATGATGAAAGCAATGGTAACTCACATTTTAATTCTAACACTGAATGCAAATGGCCTAAATGCTCCACTTAAAAGATACAGAACCTCAGAATGGATAAGAACTCATCAACCAACTATCTGCTGCTTTCAGGAAACTCACTTAACACATAAGGACTCACATAAAGTAAACGGGTGGAAAAACGTATTTCATACAAATGGACACCAAAAGTGAGCAGGGGTAGCTATTCTCATATAAGAAAAAACAAACTTTAAAGCAACAGCAGTTAAAAGAGACAAGGACAATATATAATGGTAAAAGGCCTTGTCCAACAGAAAGTATCACAATCCTCAACATATGTGCACCTAACACTGGAGCTCCCAAATTTATTACAACAATTACTAATAGGCCTAAGAAATGAGATAGACAGCAGCACAATAATAGTGGGAGACTTCAATACTCACAGTGACAGCACTAGACAGGTCATCAAGACAGAAAGTCAACAGAGAAACAGTGGAGTTAAACTATACCTTGGAACAAATGGACCTAACAGATATATACAGAACATTTTATCCAACAACCACAGAATATATATTCTATTCAATAGTGTATGGAGCTTTTTCCAAGATAGACAATATGATATGCCATAAAATAAGCCTCAATAAATTTAAGAAAATTGAAATTATATCAAGCACTCTCTCACACCACAGTGGAATAAAACTGAAAATCAACTTCAAAGGGAACCTTCAAAACCATGCAAATACACAGAAATGAAATAACCTGCTCCTGAATGAGCATTGGCTCAAAGACAAAATCAAGATGGAAATTAAAAAATTCTTTGAACTGAATGACAATAATAGAAACTATCAAAACCTCTGGGATACAGTAAAGGTGGTGGCGAGAGAAAAGTTCAGAGCCCTAATGAAACTGGACCATCATCTCTCACCTTATACAAGAATCAACCCAAGATGGATTAAGTACTTAAATCTAAGAGCAGATACTGTAAAAATTCCAGAATATAACATCAGAAAAACCCTTGTAGATATTGGCTTAGGCAAGGATTTCTGACCAAGAACCCAAAA